GATTACCAGATGTAGTTTTGAATTTCCTTCATTTTTTTGGTTTGTGTTGTATTGTTAGCATGCTTGCTGTACAAAGCACTAAGATTAATATTAATATCTATTTATTTAATTCAAAAGCTGGTGCCACACAAAGAAGGGTTTGAATTAGGAAAGCACTAGATTTGTCTACTGTAATTAGTGGAACATGCCATGCCTACGGGACAGAAAGTGTTAGATTGAGTACAGGCTTTTGTATTCACTGTGTTCATAGTCATTTTATTGACTGACTGACTACACTTTTTCTGTAAATTAGTTAGTTGAACTTTATATATGTGTACACTCTGTATTTCAGAAGGTGTGATGACAGCAAAGAATCAAAAGGTGAAGACCCGACAGACCAGGTGAGTATTTGATCTATCAGAAGATCATTTCATTTAAAAATAATCCCATATTTCCTTTCTGAGTTTTTTCTTTGGCTAAAATGGATAAGAATGTTTCAGACTTGTATTATGGCATATGCAATAGCAGCAAGTTACATTAAGGCAATAACTCTTATAGGAAAACATTTTGTTTTTATATTTTGTAGTAGGGTTTACTATTTCCCCTATCTACTATATATTTGAGAGAGTTTGTGAGTGAGTCTGTCTCTCAAGAACTCCTTCTAAACAATCAGAGCTGGGACCACCAAATTTGGAATGCAGCTTCCTCATATCATAACTTATGGCAAGATCAGGGTTTAGTTGTGCCAGGACAATGGGATGTGCCTGAAATGTGATTGTTTCTTATATCAAAGGGAGGACTCTGGTTGTAGGGACAGTTATATTGTATATTGACCACAGCAGGGCAGGAAGGGTGCCAGAGATGGGAACAGGGACAGCTATATCCCCATTGGAGCAGCAGGGAGCATGGGTGGAGAAAGGGACTGCTACCTACTATATATTTGAGAGAGTGTCTGTTTCTGTCTGTCCCCCAGCTGGGGGACATGCATCCCTCACCCCAGCTGTTCTTGCTGCAGAGGCCATAAAGAGGCGCTTCTGACCTGGCACAATAGTAAAAATGCTTCACTAAACTCTAGCTATGGTGTATAGTTAAACAGAATGGTTTCATTTTAATTGCCTAAATTGGGTTTAATTGCCAATCTATGGTTTGTGAGCTGTACACTGCCCACCAGAGCATCTCATAAGGCTGGCAGCCTGTTTCAACACAATATTCCAATTACTATTTCATTGTCATTTTACATAATTTTAGTTTACACAAGAGTGTAAATAGACAATACTGTACATACAAACTATCTAAATACATATGAAAAAACTGAACTTAAAATATAAATCAGTACAGGTGATTTTAAAACTTATTAATATATGTAGAATCTGTTTGGCCCATACGAGGTTCTGTTTAGGTTTATGTAGCCCTCCTGTGTAATAAGGGTGGACATCACTGATCTAACTCATACAAACAAGAGATCCTCAGACTCTTTTTAAATCTGATTTTACAGGTTGAAGAGAAAACTGATGATGAAGATTCTGAAGAATTCACTAGCAATGAAGAGCTGCTAGGATATTTAGTAGGTGTTAAATTTGTTGTGTGCCAAGATTGGTGGAATATTATATGAAATATTTAATATAGTTAATAGTTGATTGACTATAGTTGAAAAGCAGCAAATATACTGAATGTAAAATATAAGTAGTCTGTTAATTTAAAACATTGTTTATGTATGGTGGTTACACTTTGAACAAAAATTTGAACTGGGATTCTGATAGGAAGAAAATCGAAGGGAAAATGTACTTCAGGAGTGCTGGCAGTTTCTCAGAGACCATAGGTAAAACAGTAAACTCTATCCCAAGAGCAAGGAAAGATGGGAAGAACAGTAAGAGGCCAATATGGCAGTATAAGGTGCTCTTTTAATAGCCTGAAAATTAAAAAAGAATCCTACAGAAGTGAAAACATGGATGGATTGCTAAAGAGTACAGAAGAATAGTACATGCACGTATTGACAAATCAGGAAGGTTAAGGCATAAAATGAATTACATCTAGCAAAGGTCATAAAGGGAAGTAAGAAGTAGATCCAAAAGTACATTAAGAGGAAGAGAGACGAAGGAAAGTATAAGTTCACTGCTTAACAGGGAAGGAGAACTAATAATGGACAACATCGTGAGGGCCTGAAGTGTTTAATGCCTGCTATTTTGCTTTAATCTTCACTGAAAATGTTAATCGTGACATGAGGATAAACATAATATTTACAAGAGGAAATTATCTTAAGCCAGAACAGGGAAAGAACAGGTTAAAAATATCTAGATACATTTGATGTATTCAAGTCAGCAAGGCTGTTGTATTAATTTAAATTGAATAAATGGGCCAAGAGAGTCAAAGGTGTTAATGTGATCCTGTCCCTGTTCCAGTAGTCAGCATTTGATATACAGGCAGTCCTCGGGTTACGTACAAGATAGGGACTGTATGTTTGTTCTTAAGTTGAATTTGTATGTAAGTCGGAACTGGTACATATTGTAGGGGAGCTGTTAAAGAGAAACCTAAAAACCTAAAAGTGTGTGTGTCTGAGAGAGAGAGTGTGATAGTGATGACACAGTGGGACCTGGCAGCCATGATGAAAGTCTCTTTGTCCTCTTTTACTCAATTTTTGACACACCAGTTTTGATTCACTGATTTTTCAGTCACATACTTTTCTTATTTCCAGGCATGATCTTAAAACAAACCCTGAGTTATTTCAGTACGGCTTTTTTCAAGGGGGGTGGGGAGGTGCATTTCGATCTGTCTATCTCACTTCTTTGCCTTTTCCTATCAAATTTATTGATAAAGATTATTGTGACCATTTTATTATTTTTTTTTATAGTTGAGCTCACAATTAAGATACATTTGTAAGCTCAATTATCATGATGAAATTAACTGGACGGTACTTACGGATCTAGCTAGAAAAATCACACAACTGTTAACAGTCATCTTTGAGAACTCATGGGGAAGTCCTACAGAAATGGACAAGAGCAAATATAGTAACTCTTTAAAAAGGGAAGAGAGGACATGGACAACCTAACTTTGATACATGGAAAGATAGTGGATTAAGATATTAAGTAATTAATATGTAAACACCTAGAGGATAATAGTGTGATAATAAATCAACATGGATTTGTCAAAAACAAATCATACCAAACTGACCTAAGTTCATTCTTGTACAGGTTTACTTCCCTAATGGATAGAGGGAAGCATTAAATGTGAGATCTTGATTTTTAATAAAGCTTTTGACACAATCCCATCTGACATGCAAACTAAGAAAGTGTTACCTACATGAAATTACTATAAGATGGGTGCACAACTAATATGCTCAGAGTAGGTACCATTAATTCCTTGTCAAGGTGGGAAGATATGTTGAGGAAGGGGTTCCTGCAGAAATCTGTCAAGACAGAGTTTGGTGCTATTCAATATTTCCATTAATCATTTGGGTAATTGAGTAGTCTGAGAGTAAATTTATAAAATATTCAGAAGACACCAAGGGCATGTCTACACAGCAGGGCTAAAGTGAAATTAAGCAATGCAACTTGAGCAACATTAATTGCATAGCTGATGTTGAAATAGCTGAATTCGGCTTTTGGCGCTGTCTGCACGGCAGGAAGTTGAAGGAAGAGCACTCTTCCTTCAACTTCTCTTACTCCTCGTGAAATGAGGGTTATAAGAGTCGGAGTAAGAAGTCCTCCAGCTTGACTTTATTTTGAAATAAAGGCTTGTAGTGTAGACACGCTTTTTGTTATTTCAGAATATTGTCAGTTATTCTGAAATAACGCTGCTGTGTAGACAAACTATAAAATGGAAGAAATTGCAAGTTCTTCACCAGACAGGATTAGAATTCAAAATGACCTAGATAAATTGGAGCATTAGTCTGAAATCAATAAGATTAATTTTGCTTAAGAAGGAAAAATTAAATGTACAACTACAAAATGGGGAACAACTGGCTAGACAGTAGTACTTCTGAAAGGAGTTTTGAGATTATAATGAGTTTGGTGATCCACTATGAGTCAGAAATGTGATGCAGGTGAAAAAAAGCAAATATAATTTGTGGTGTATTAACAAGAGTATAATAGTATGTACGATGCACTCCACTTGACTCTGGTGAGGCTTCAACTGGAGTACTGTTCCCAGTTTTGGGCACACACTTTAGGATAGATGTGAAGAGAGTCCAAAGGCAAGCACTAAAACTAGGTATATTTAAACTTAAGAAAAGTCTGAGGGAGGGTCTAATAACAGTACTTATATATGCTAAGGGTTTAGCAGATACATATGACTGCTGCTTTAAAATAGAGCCTGGCCACTTTCTGGTCCAGGACCCTTCCCCTTTCTGGGTCAGGTGAATGGAAATGGAGTGGGAAAGGAACTGATGTCAGTTGTAGTTTTCTGCTTAGCAAATCCTTTGCACAAGGGTCAGTCTTGGAATTTACCTCCTGCATAAGATTGTGCAGAAAACTTTCTCTGCCCAGTAGCAGGAAAAAATGGGAAAGTAGGCTGTTTAGTGTTTTGCTAGGAGAGAATTGATCTCAATACCTTATTGTTCTCATCCATTCTTGTATCAGGCATCTCTATAGTTTGAATTTCATGCTTTGGAATTGCTCTTGATGGCCACTAACCATTCTTTACCATGATACTCTGCTGTTTAAATAAGAAGCTCTTTTTTCATTTAAGAATTAGCCTCTTTCATTACAGAATTTCTGTTTTTCTTTGTCACCTACTAATGTTTTTCCTTGCTTTTTTGTTGATTTTAGCTTTCAGTTGCAAATTCTTTAGTCTCCAGTTTATTAGCTTCTGGGATAAAAATAAACTTATCTCCATTGTTGAGTTTTACCACTTTAGTTTGATTGAGTTCATGTACCTCTTTACATGCATTAATTAAAATATAGTATGCTTATTTTTCAGATAATCTATTTGGGAAAAATATGGACTGCATAAATTTTGTGTGAAACTCTAGTTTTTTAGTAATATACAGTGCTGTTTAGAGGAGCATATCCCATCTTACCTGCCTAGCAATCTATATTTTAATATGATTTATAATAACCTTAGTCACCACTATCACAATTTCATTAGCTCAAAATAAATCCACTAATTGTAGTCATCTGTACCAACTAGTTTCCCTTTACTAAATATTTATTTTGTATGTTTGTTATTAGTTGCTGTTTATTTATAGGATCCTCTATGAAAAATAGTGATGCAAACTTAAGTAGAACAACTACTGTTTGTTTTTATAATAATTTCAATTGTTACACTTCCATTGATAAATTATTTGATATATTAATAACTTTGTGATTTCCACTAAGAAGGTAAAAAATTACCCATTACCCGGTAATCATTAACCTTTCTGAAATGTTTACCTGGTAACCAGTTAACTGAAGGGCTGAGAGCAACCTCCGTCCTGCTTGTGGCATGATCAGACCCTGGCTGGCCAGAGAAGCCTTGCTCCCCATGGTGCAGCAGAATCCCGGCCGGACAAAACAGCTCCCTGCCCCACTGCCCACAGAGGACCAGCCTGGAGGAGCCCCCGAGTATCTTGGGACTTGCCTCTTTCTGCATGCAGTACTGCCTTAGTTTGATCATTTAAGGTGTTCAAGCTGGAATCTTCTCAGTTTAGGAGAAGATGCTGATTGGGGAATTTTTATGAGGGATACTAACATTGGAATTCAAACTTCTGTTGGTCTGAAAATAGCCTGCACTTGTTTACCTTTGGGGTTTGCTTCAAGACTCTTTTATACACTTGAGTTCTTAATGAAGGGGCTGAGACTTGTATGTTTGGTGAGGGTAAATATTTTTATGTTCACTTTGTGGGGCTTTTTAGTTGGAGAATGATAAAGCTGCTGAATATGTTGATTTGTGTATAAATTTTTGCTATGTAAAAATTAGAACTCCAATAGGGACTCTTAAAGGTGTTTTTATATAAACTGAAATAGATTACTAATCACTTTACTTGTAATAGCAAATTTTAATAGCTTATTTATGCCATAGATGAAATATTAGATTGTCTCTGTCTTTAAAATATGTTTTGGTGTTTTACCTTTTTTCCAGAAAAGCTTTGAGATATTGAGTGAAGATGATGCATCATTTATCCTAAAGGTTACACAGAGTCTTACGAATGCATTGGTGAAATATCGACAACAGGTTACACCAACAAAAGTAATTTTGTATATTTTAGTATATGATTGAATCTATCTTGACTTCTGTAACCTGTCCAATAGATTTTTTTAAGAGTACGGATAAGGTATTCATGCTTAAACAGAATGGGCATGGGTGCAACTTGCAGATTTTGGTCATCAAGATTTGTAGTCAGGATAGTATGGTAAAATGTAACATTTTTGCTCCTGTTTTATTGCTGAATAGAGAAGTGCTTGAAGTATTCTAACAAATGTTATGACTGCTTACCTGATTTGGGGGCTATTTAAAAAAAAAAGTATTTGAAATTTTGTGCTACATTTTCTTTATTATATCTTTTGTGAAAGTTTGAAATCCATTTTGGCTTAAAAGTACATAATTGTAAGTGATACCTCTGGTGGTGCCTAAAACAATATGAGCTGGAAAATAAAGAGTAGCGCTTAAAGCTAGAACATCATAAATCCTGCTCCTGTCTTTGCCAGGACTGGCTTTATTATTAATAATGTCCTCATACCTCTCTCTACATAGAAAAAAAAGTTTTTCTGACAGGTGACAGAATGTTCCTGCTGGGCGGCAGAATGATGTCATCAGTGTCAACTGGCTCTCAGTGAAGTAAAAGCAGCCAGGGAGAGGGGGATAGGCAAGCTTAGCGAGCAAAGGGCACAGCCCCTTTATAGTACTTTATGCACACTATTAAGGTCCAGTCCTTCAAACATTTAATGATGTGCATAACATTACTCATATGAGTAGTTCCTTTTGTGGGACTGTTTGCGTGAGTCAAGTTACATATCTTTTCCTCTTTGAAAAGTCATAGAAGTCAGAACAGATTCCAGAAGACTGGAAAAGGGCAAATATAGTGCCCATCTATAAAAAGGGAAATAAGAACAACTCAGGGAACTACAGACCAATCTGCTTAACTTCCATGCCAGGAAAGATAATGGAGTCAGTAATTAAATAATTCATCTGCAAATATCTGTATGATAATTAGGTGATAGGTAACAGCCAGCATGGATTTGTAAAGAACAAATCATGTCAAACCAATCTGATAGCTCTCTTTGATAGGATAACAAGTCTTGTGGATAATGGGGAAGCTGTAGACAGGGATACCTAGACTTTAGTGAAGCATTTCATATGGCATGACGTGACTTTATCAATAAACTAGGGAATACAACCTAGATGGGGCTACTATAAGGATAACGATTCTCAGATTAATGTTTCACAGGCATGCTTGAAGGGCATAACAAGTGGGGTTCTGCAGGGGTCAGTTTGGGGACCAGTTCTGTTCAATATCTTCATCAACAATTTAGATATTGGCATAGAGAGTACACTTATAAAGTTTGCAGATGATACCAAGCTGGGAAGAGTTGCAAGTGCTTTGGAGGATAGGGTCATTGTTCAAAATTATCTGGAGAAACTGGAGAAACTTCATCCTATTTACCTTAGGCCATTTAATACGGAGAAATGCAAAGTACTACACTTAGGAAGGAACAGTCAGTTCTTCAAGCAGTGTCCATGTGGGTGCTCCACCTTAGGTGTCTGGGCGCCGTTGCACCTCTAGTCAGAGATTACAGGTAACAGTGCCCTTGGTAGGCTGCACACATGAAGCAGATTTCACGCACGATGTTACTACAATGCATGTGCAGCCAACCGTCCCTTCGGTTCCTCCTCTGCCACCGCTAACATCTGTCAGAACCGACAGTTGCCCTCTAAACTTTTTCAAAACTTTTCCTATTTCTTGTTTATAGTTAATGTAGTTTAGTGTATTACAGTATTGTTTTACAGTTTTTAACCGTTAAATAGTTATTGGTAGTTAGAAAAAAAATCTCTATTGTTAAAGCCATTTGCCTTGACAATATTTTTCTTCCTGGGAGGCCAGGTGCTCCAGGCTTTAAACATTGCCTGTCTTGCAGGCTGTCAATCTCCATCTCCAAAGAGCACTTGCAGTGTGTTTGGTGCCTGGGGCAAGCACACTCTAACGCCCACTGCCAGCACTACAAACAGTTAGCAGCTCTCACATGCAAAGCCAGGGAGTTGCAACTGAAACTTCTCTCCCTCAGAAACACCATGAGGTCAGCTTTAAACCTGGAACTTTCAACTCCACCTGGGCAGCCCTCTCCATTAGCCATGTCTGAGAAAGTTGCTCCTTCAAGCTCCAGCACTAGGGACCAGCCAAGGAAGAGATCCCATTCTTGAAGCGGAATTGATTCCCTTTAAAAAAAACAGGGTCAAACACCTAAGAGACCCCCTGTACCGACTTCAACTAAGGTACTGGACAGGTTGGTACTGGGACCGTCAGGCACTGACTCCCCCCGAGGGTCCAAGAACCTTAGCATGGTGAGCTCAAAAGCTCCCAAAGTCAAAATCAGTGCCACCAGCACCATCCGACTCAGCTTAAGCCTTTGTCAGTACCAAGGGCAAGTCAGCACCCCCAACTCAACTTTGGCGCTAAAGAAGCGGGTGTCCCATTTGGCACCCTCTACACTTATGCCCCCTCCGACTCCGAAGAGGCACAAGCATGCGGCTCCGACAATAACACAAGCACCACCATTGGCACCACAAGTAGCATCTGTGCCACCCTTGGCACTGGTGCCCTGGCACTGTAGCTTTTCACTATGGCAGAAGAGCTGAGAGAAACATCCATGCTGACAGCCCCATTATTCATCACTACTCTTTCCACCCCTGCCAGCTTGGCATTGCCGTTATCTTGTGATGAAGAGGAGGAACCTCTGGTTGGTACCCACACACCAAGGCATTCGTCACCAAAACAGGCTCAGCAGCAGGCTCTTCCTCAATGTCAGACATCTCAGTGGTTTGTCCTCCCCAGTACCAATGTCAGCCAACTGGCCCTACTGAGACCCTTGGGCACCCTACAGAGTCCAGCAATCACAGGAAGTAGAAGCTCAGGCACCTCCCTCTGTTCCATCAAGGGCTATGTCTGTATCCTTCCTTGATAGATCTGCATATCAGGAGGATGAACCATGTTCAAGTGACAAGAAAACTTTTGCCTCCTCACCTCCACCAGCACATATATCAGCATCTTCCTCTGATGATACCCTGATGTCTCCTCCTCTCACAGCAGGAGACGATTTTAAATCGTTCCAAGAACTTTACAAGAGGGTGGATGTCATGGTGGATGTCTCTGTAGTGAGTATCTCTGAAACCCAGTACAAGTTAACTAGCATACTGCACCACTTCCCCATCCACTAAGCTGGCACTACCTATGGACCTGGCCTTTATGGATCCTGCCAAAGTGATCTAGTAGACACCAGCAACATTCTCACCGGTCTGTAAGAGGTCAAAATGTAAATAGCACCACAGGGTGCAGACTTTTCATTCTAACACCCATTGCCTAATTCCCTTGTGGTAGATGCAGTTAACTAGAAGGGAAAACCGAATGCTGCTAGAACCACACCTTATGATAAGGAGTGGAAACACCTTGACTTCATGGGGAGGAAGGCCTATTCCTCTTCTTCTCTTCAGCACCAGATTTCCAACTATACCACAATGCTTGCAAAATATACACACCACATTTTCGAGCAACTATCGCATTTTATTGAAAGCCTTCCAGATGAAAAAAGTGATCAATTCAGAACCAACATAAATGAAAGGGCCCTAATTTCATGCGTGGATCTACAAGTTGCTTTTGTTACCTTTGATACCGCATCCTGCTCCATTGCTACAGCTGTTGTGATGACAAGGTCCTCATGGCTCCATCTGTCCAGGTTTCCCTGTAAAATACAAGCCCTGGTAGAGGATCTTCCTTTTCAAGGCTCCAGGTTGTTAGCGAATACAACCAATGTATCCCTCCACTCAAAGACTCTTGTGCCACATTGAAGATGCTTGCCATTCATGTCCTTGCAATAAAATGTAAGCAGGGAAGATATTTTATTCACAGATATAAACCAACACTTTTTAGTCAACCACAGAGGCACTATGACAACAGAAGGAAACATCAAACCAAAAAGAGACAAACTCCTGACCATCCCCTTCTCAACTCTCAACTTCAAGGCAAACATTTTGAAGTTCAGGTTGAGCGTCTGGTAACACCCCTTCATTTAAGGCAACCACATCCCCACCAACTACAGGTTGTACCTCCCTTAACTGGGACTTCCTGGTCTGGCAACATCCGTGGTCTGGCAGGGACCACATTTGTTCCTGGACCACAGAGCCCAGGAAGAGAGTGGTTTGGCAGTGGAGCAGGAGCACTGTAAGGGGCACTGGCGACTCAGCTGGGAGCCCAGAGTATGTGTGGGGGAGGGTGGGACGGATGGCAGGTCAGGGAGTTTTGGCCCCAGCAGAGCTCCCTTGCCCCAGAAGCCTGGGAGCTTTAGCCTGGCTGTAGCTGTTGACCTCCCGCCCTAGCCAGGGAGCTCCAACCCCAGCAGTAGTCAGGGAACTCTGGCCCCAGCCCTGGCTGCATAGCTCCGGCTGTGTTCTGGCTCCAGCGGCTAGGGAACTCCAGTCCCAGCGGCAGACAGGGAGCTCTGGCTTGGGCTGTGGAGCTCCATTCCCATCCCTCTGCCCTGGCCACAGAGCTTTGACCCCAGCTGCGGAGCCAGGTAGTTGCAGAGCTCTGCCCCAATTGCATAGCTCTAGCAGTGACACACTGGCCCTGGCAGCAGCAGGGCCAGGGAAAGCTCCGGGAGGGGAGGGGGGGCTGAGGCAGCAGCAGGGGCAGGCTGGAGCCCTAGCCCAGTGGCAGCATGGCCATGAGGGGAGGGACCTTGTCAGACAAACAAATCCCATTGTTCAGGACCAGTCAGGTCATGAGGGTGCCAGATCAGCGAGGTCCAACCTGTATTCTACAGACATCTAGCACTCCTCTGCCCCCAGTGGTCCTCTGTCATAACAGACAGATGAATAGTGAACATTATAAAGGGTGGATACCGTATTCCATTTTCATCTATGCCCCTTCTCAACCTCCCTCGCCATCCCTCTTCAGGGACCCATCTCACCAGGGCATTCTCCTCCCCTGCTCCATGTGGGGCTATAGAACTAGAGATGTAAGCAGGTAGTTGACTAAC